AATTTTTGTTTCAGGGATTTTCCGGGGGGTTTGTTGGAAGCCCTAGAGATTTTTCTGGGTTTTGATTTTTGCCTTCATTAGATCATTCCCGTCACTTGAAATCCGGAGTCTCCCCTGGGACAGTCGTGAACACTGTAGGATTTTGTCCAGAGTCATAGTTAGAGATGCATTGTACAGCAAACAGTGTCACAGGAAAGTATTGTTCATTTAGTAGTTTCATTTTCAATTCACAGACTTAAAAGTTTAGACCATCCTTTATGTCTCCCCAGTTTGACTTTTAATCCTCCCCTCTCGCTTTCCAGTTAAAAGAAGGGTGTGAGATCACACATATTCACCGTGTATTGATGATTTCTTTCACAGAACTCAGGGCCCATTTACCTTTTCCAAAGGACATGAAGGCTCTGTCAGTGCATGCAGCTTTAGTGAAGATGGTAAGGACATCAAGAAATAAACCACTCTCCCAAGTTTTATTAATTTTAAGCTCAGTGTATGTGGAATCCAGCCCTTTGAAAATGAGTTGATGTAGACCTCAGTTTATCTTACCCATTTTTAGTGTATTATTATAATAACGTACAGGGACTTTATTTATTTAAGCATGGCTAGTTTATTATTTAGAGCCGTGCATAACTAGTTTATGACTATGTCGGTTTGATAGGTACTATGTTAGTGTCTTCATCATATGATGAAACGCTGGTCATCTGGGATGTTGAGAACTGCTGTCAGAAGTTTGCTCTGAAGGTAAAAAAAACCTTTTTATTTAGTCAATTCTTGCCTTGCAGGCTAAAAATAGGCCAGTCACTATAAATATCACTTAATAATAATAATAATAATAATAATAATAATAATAATAATAATAATAATAATAATCAGTTTATTAAACCCTTTGGTAGTGTATAAAACTAAATTACAAGGGAGGTCAAGAATATGCAGAATACATAATTACACATGGCAAGAAGGCAAAAACAATTAATTCCTATTGTAACTGTGGGTAACAAAATTACTAAGGCGGTCCGTTCTGACAAAGCGGAATTCAGAACGGGAAAAACCTGACCTCAACCTGTACCCATGAGCGACATTCGTGGGCTGCGGCAGCAGGTGTGAAAGGAACCCGGACTCCTTGATGTTAGATATAAAATGCCTGCAAGCCTCATCATGGTGCGACAACAGTGTAGGCAAGCCACAGCACACGAGTGCCGACTCATAAGAGCAATCTGGAAAAATGATTCCTAGTGCAGACTTCTGCATGCTTTCCACCAATAATTATTGAACCAGACAGTTGGGTATCGCTGCCCACTCCGGAGATGCATATTCTAAAATGGGCCGCACAAGGCTACAATAAACCTGAATGAGATCAGCTGGTGGGAGGCCTGATTTGGAACTAGTTGAAACCCCAGCCATACCAAATACTCTGCATCCTGAAACATGTATATATACCTGAGGCCCAATGAAGACTTATAAAAATTATTTAAAGCTTTAATATTATTAAAAATATGTCCTGAATGTTATAATAAATTAAACTATATAACATTCATGACATTTTATTATTATAATTATTATCTTTGAGGGCGAGTGATTCATCTCTTCTTGAGTCGTTTTATATACAGCTCTCTTAAAATCAAGTACTAGCAAAAAAAGATTACTGGAATTTATGGTTATTGCTTCTTTCTATTATGGCTCCAGAAAGTTTGGTGGCATAGCAGTGTTCTTTGTATTTGATGTCAATACTTACATACATTGTAGTCACACCTCTCTCTCCTTCTTATCTTCTCAATGTAATTAAAAAAAAACATGTTGAATTTCTGCCTTACCAGTAAATGGTGATAATCAGTTGATGTGGTACAGTCTGTATGTTGCCTTTATTTCCAGGGTCACACAGGATGGGTAAATGACTGTAGTTTTAGCAGTGATCAGAAGTGGATAATCTCCTGCTCAAAAGTTAGTTCTTTTTTATTTGTTATGTAGGTCATGAAAATGACAGTTAAAAGCAGATTTGGACCTAGCCTGTCTGATATTGAAAATTAATTATTTCCTCTGCTGTAAGTAGGATAATCTTTCTATTTTGTTCACCAAAATTACTGGAAAAAAAAAAAAATTTGTTTGATTTTTAATGTGTTTGGAAAAATCTTGTGTTTCCACTTGTCAAGTATTGACATAAAAAACAAGCTTATAATAATAGTTTTTTGTTAAAAAAGTAATTTAGTTTGTAAACTTCAAAGGTTAGTTTCTCAAACATTGAATTTAAGCTAAAACTATCAAGGGTGACACAATTCAAAACACAACAGCCACTGCAATAAATGTCAGTGTTGAACATGAAGCTTTTAGAATTGCTGACGTTAAGTTGATTTTTTCTTTTATATACTGTAGGACAAAACTGTACGGATGTGGAATATAGAATCAAGTGATGATATACCGGTGGTCCTAGAACACAGGAAAAACATAGGGCTCAGAATTGTTCAGGTTTGTATTAAATACTTGTTAAATTGGGCTATTTTGCAAGGCTCTATTTTTAGCCTTGTAAATAGTCCACTCTATAAACCTAGGTGAATTTTATGGATATTTGTTAAGTTGTTACTTAAGTTAATGAATATCGTAAAGCCATGTGGGTGTGGCCATTGTGAACTTTTTTTTAGACTAAGGCATTGTCCATAATTTTTTGTATGTACTAATAAAGTTCATTTGGTATAAAGGTAAACAAAAGCAGATGTGTTGAAACATGCTTTCTATTGTCGGGGCTGTCAATAAAATTTCAAGTTGCCAAGTAAATGCAATAAGTAGACTGGGCTTGAAGGTTGGTTTGGTTCTATTTTCCTTTTGGTTCCTATGTAGCCACAGGTCATGCAGCGTACAAAGAGAGTGGTGTCTGATAGCCCAGGGCTAGTGGATTTTGCTACTGGGCTAATGAGTTCTGTTTTCAACTTGGCCAACGGGCAGGTAAAGTTTTTTGGGGAATTCACTGTAATCAATCCTGCTAATCAAAAAAATTTTTCGGCTATATAAAGTGACTCTTGGGCTGGTGGATTCTAGCTACAGCTTGCCCGAATGGCAAGCTGTAAAACTGACTTTCTATGCACCCTGGGTCATGCTTTTAGTAGTTGGGGAATCCCTTGCCCCCAGCTCTGTATTGTAGTTCTTCCATGCTAACCTATTTTCATTATGTTATTTGTAGTGTCAAAACTGTAGCAAGCCTTTCTCAATCGCTCAGTTGGAAGACGAAGCAAACTTTAAGTACTGTGTATTTTGTCGCCTAGAACATCCCTCTGAATACTCTTCTTCGCCAGTGGACTTTTGAAGTTAGGCAAAACAGTCAGGTTGGGACGTTGCATCTCATCTATGAAACTCCACCATGTTGAGTGTAGGTGCAGCAGTTTTGCATTAGCACCCTGCAGATCAAACCCAAAGCCTTCAGGGCGTGCTGGACATTGTGTGAGAACCAATCACATATATGGAATGTTATCACAATACTACAGCTTTGGTGTGAATCAAAGTACCAAGAAATTTTCATATCTTATGTAAGTTGTAGCATATGGGAAGCTGCAGCTTACTGGTATTTTTGAGCGTTGTACTGTATATATGCTGTCATATTTATTTTGGTTTTATTTATAATTTTTGTGTACAGTATTTGTAACAAAAACTGTATTAAATAATATTGTTTACAGAACTACCGTATCTTTCTTACAGGTGTGAATAATGTTGTTTACTATCAGATCAAGTTGCTTTTAAAAAACTCACTGTTGGCTGTAACAGCTAATAGATGTTCAGCCCCCTCAAAGTTTACTTAGGCGGTGTTTACATGAGAATACTCACACCAGCATGACTTTTTGATGACCTTTTGATTTTTATCGCATTTACATGATGATTGGGTCATTTCATATCTCGTTATTTGAAGGTCACCGCATGTTGATAAAATACACGTGTGATTCAAAATCGCAAACGTTATGCATGCGCTACCCATTCCAGTCTATTGGCAGACCGATTTCACACCAAGACCTGTGGTCTTTTCTTGTTTACATGATACTGTTGAGAAATTTTATACCAGAGTGAAATTCTTGGCCCTGGTACAACTGGGGTGAAGCCACGCGGAGATGACTCATGCCGGCATGACATTTTGTGGTGGTATCATGTAAACAAATATAGAGCCACGAGAGGGAACCGGCGTGAACTCTCCCTGTAGCGAAAGTCGCCCCGGTGTCATGTAAACACCCCCTTACATCCAAAGGTCAGCAAGTAAAAAGTTGTCCAATGTCGTGTTTTATCAAACTGGACCCTGAATGCTGACTTTGTTCCAGTAAAATATAAATATTAAGGATACATTTTTACTATATGAAGTTTTAAAGTTTTTTCTGGTTTAATTAGAAAAAATAATTCAAACTTATTGAGTGTTTTGGCTTGCAGAACTATAAAAAATTGGTTATTGGTTATTGTCGGTATAAATATTGACTATTTTGCTTTTCTTCATTTGGTAATAAATCACAACATCTGCAACAACAAGAATCTGCAACGGTCTATGGTTATTAAAGATGAGAAGGCAAGAGCTCTACCTTTGATGTAGACCAGTATTACATCCTCTGCTGCTGATGGAAAAAGTCCTTTAGTTGTTGTGCATTGGCTTTTCCCACCACAGTAGCGAGAGACTAAAATTAACAGAACAAAATAGATAAAAAACCAAGAGGAAGTGCCAAAGCTGGCCTGAAGAAACAGGTGACTGATGTTTGACAAATGAGCCCGGAAATTCCATCCTGATGACTAATCACTTCCCAGATTTGGGTAGTGCTTCTGATTGGATGAAGCAAAGTTTCACCCCATCAGAAACACTACCCAGCTCTAGGAAGTGTCAAGTCATCAATATGGAATTTCTGCGCTCATTCCTCAGGCATCATTTCCCGGGAGGACACCAGTGGTGACGTCACGAAATGTGGGCTGTTTTCTCAGGCTAAATGCAAAAGCTGAATTGGCAAGATTAAGTCTACAGGTTCTATTTTCAGGGATTAACATATGCAAATAATACTACAGAGATGCCTTCCCATAACTGACTTTTATAGTACGTGTACTACTAAAATACTTACTGCAACTGATGCCTTACTGATTTGCTCAATACCTAACAGATGAGAGAAAACAACAAATTTGAAAAAGCTAGTTTTTACAAAGGGAACTTCGATTCAGTAGATTTTCTGTAGAGATGGAGGGAGG